TTTGTGCTGCTTAATTAATAATCAGGGGCTCCCGATCGCATAATATGAAAGCCTGGCTTAGGTGTTCAAAACACAAATTGTATTTATCGCTAAGCTGACAGGGGGATGTTTTATTTTTCAATTTAAATGAGGATTTGATTTCATGAATAACAATTGGAATGAGCTTTTGAGTTGGGGTATGGAATGTATACAGGACTCTCTCTACAACGATTTCCTCCGCATAATGATTTTTTTTGTGTGTGATCCCATGAAGTTCTAAGCAGATGTTGTGAGGGTTTTCTGCAAAAAATTCTTTCTAAACCGACATTTTTTTCTGGTCCCTTGAGTTTTGTTGTCGTGAGACCGCCTGTATTTATTGCTCACACAATTCGATATTGAAAATTTCAAAAAATCAGAATGGAAAATCGATAACGGCTTAATCAATAAATTACACTCTTTCTTTGGACAAGGACAAACCTTACACCCACAAAATCTCAATCTAGTAATTATGGAGACAGCCCTTTTCCTTTTGCCTAAATAAATTGGGATCTTTTGATTAAATAAAAAATAGCAGCAAGGAAACATTTACTACGATTAATTATTTCAACATTGCGTTCATTCGATATAAATAAAGCCTTTCCGTTCCTATAAAAAAATCACGAGGCATTCCTTCCAATTCAACAAATGTATCCCTTTTATGCTTTCGAAGTTGGGTTAAAAGCATTCCTTGCTTTTCAAATGATGCGGGATTTATTTATTTGTCTGAAAATGTCTTAAATATTTTCGAAGAAACGCCGAATTATTCACGAATACAGTATTAACTGCTTCAGTTCAAAATACAGTAAGATACACTCTGAAGAGGTGACTTACACACATGTATAAGGGTTATATTATATGCAAAAACAGAACTTTCGAAAAAGCCTTCGGGCTCATCCCATAGCGTATCTAACTCTAACACAGCAGGTACAGAGGAGCCATCGCACCCGGAAGGAAAATAATATGTAAATAACCACAAGAAAATAAAAAATGCAAGAAAATGAGATGGGAGGTCCAAAAATGCACTCAAGGCGTTATCTTTCATTCGTCATGTGTTGGGCCTCACTTTCCAAGATGGGAGAAGAGTTAAGGGGTGGGAAAAAAAAGAGAGAAGAGCGCGTCTGAAAAGGCACGAGCTCTTTTTTATTTTATTTATCCTTTCATGTTGCGATAAGGAAAAACTCATTAGCCGCCACAACGTGGTTTCGAAAGCCATTTGCTCGAGTGCCGCCCGAGGTATAGTCGTTTTATGTACGTAGGTACGTACGTATATATATTCGCTGAAACGCATTTTCTCATTTTACCTTCCCATGCTCCTTCTTCTTCTTCTTCGTCTTTTGCTGTCGGTCAGTTAAACTGTGTTTCCTATCGTTGAATATTATTTTCCCAATGGTACCCCTCACGTCGGCGATAATAGTAAAATTTAAGATAAATTCTCGATAATGACCTCAATGTATTTTATGGAAAAGTTAAACGACTTTCTATTCATCTACGATACTTTGAATAGTTTACCCTTCTTCTTCGAATGGTTGAAAAACATGTCCGCGAAATTGCGGTACGCAAAATAAATCATCAATATACTGTGGAAAATGCTTTAAAAAAAAAACGGAATATAAGCATTTCTTCAGATGAAGCTGAAAGGAAACTACTTTAGAGGCCTTTCAGAGCTCTTATCGTAAAAACTTGAAACCGATACGGGAAGAAAGATACAAAATAAGATTAAACTGAATTACTGCTCTCTGATCCCGTGAAAGCCAATAACTTCACTTCAGGGAAAATGGAAGATGTACATAAAGATCGGCGAGCTATTCAATTCTGATGAGATTTTATTTATCCTTTCATGTTGCGATAAGGAAAAACTCATTAGCCGCCACAACGTGGTTTCGAAAGCCATTTGCTCGAGTGCCGCCCGAGGTATAGTCGTTTTATGTACGTAGGTACGTACGTATATTCGCTGAAACGCATTTTCTCCTTTTACCTTCCCATGCTCCTTCTTCTTCTTCGTCGTATTCTGCTGTCGGTCAGTTAAACTGTGTTTCCTATCGTTGAATATTATTTTCCCAATGGTACCCCTCACGTCGGCGATAATAGTAACATTTAAGATAAATTCTCGATAATGACCTCAATGTATTTTATGGAAAAGTTAAACGACTTTCTATTCAACTACGATACTTTGAATAGTTTACCCTTCTTCTTCGAATGGTTGAAAAACATGTCCGCGAAATTGCGGTACGCAAAATAAATCAGCAATATACTGTAGAAAAAGCTTTAAAAAAACAGAATATAAGCATTTCTTCAGATGAAGCTGAAAGGAAAATACTTTGGAGACCTTTCAGGGCTCTTATCGTAAAAACTTGAAACCGATAAGGGAAGAAAGATACAAAATAAGATTAAACTGAATTACTGCTCTCTGATCCCGTGAAAGCCAATAACTTCACTTCAGGGAAAATGGAAGATGTACATAAAGATCGGCGAGCTATTCAATTCTGATGAGAGGGAAGAAAGATACAAAATAAGATTAAACTGAATTACTGCTCTCTGATCCCGTGAAAGCCAATAACTTCACTTCAGGGAAAATGGAAGATGTACATAAAGATCGGCGAGCTATTCAATTCTGATGAGAGCTTCAAGCTGAAGAACAATTTTAATAAAAAATGTTGATGTACTTCAAGGTGCGGCTGTTTCAATTAAACTGCGCTGTAGTACGTGCAATAAAATATCGCAGCATTTGAAAAGATGAGTGGCAAAACAACAGAAAATTATCCAAAGACACTAAAACGCACACAGATGTACAACAACGGATTTATTTCACTATGCAATCCGTGAAACATATGACCATTTCAGAATAATAACTTAAATTTATCTTCAAAATTGACAACTAACATTCAGGAAAGGCGTATTGTACTCTGTTCCACAGACTTGTTTTTCTCTACAACCAAGCAAAGCTAAAATGAAATAAAAGAAGCCTTTCGCGCAAAAATTTGCGAAAATTTGCAGGAATTAAATTTTGCAAGCGTCGCTGTCATTTGAAAAATCGCACTCGATTCTAAGGGGAATCCTAATTTTTTGTAATAATATTTTTCCTCTTCTACAATTCCTGCAGGAAATTCGTGAAAATATGGATTATTGATCTCGCAAATGGAAAGAATGTCTCAAATATTACCACGAATTCCAGCATTTAATTTAATCGCAATCAATCCCATCAAAGTAAGAGTTTTCGGCATCTCAGCTCTATGAATTCCGACGCTGCCTCTTTCTCAAAGGCAGCAGACATGACAGGTGACAGAGCCGTATACAGCTCTTGGACAAATCATTCAATAGAACCCCCTCACGGCTTTATAAAAAAAAACAACAACATACAAAATCAATAACTGAAGGTCCTGTACACCCAGCAATACTGGAAAGCCCGCCGTGATTCGTTACCCAATACCCTACGTCAACCCTCCCCCCTTGTCCACAACTCCATTATTCGACACAGAAGCTTAGCCAGCCACCCGAGAAGNCCCTCACGGCTTTATAAAAAAAAACAACAACATACAAAATCAATAACTGAAGGTCCTGTACACCCAGCAATACTGGAAAGCCCGCCGTGATTCGTTACCCAATACCCTACGTCAACCCTCCCCCCTTGTCCACAACTCCATTATTCGACACAGAAGCTTAGCCAGCCACCCGAGAAGCAGAAAGGAATTCGTCAGATGTATTCTTACATGGACTTGGTCAAGTACTCAGTCGAATACGGTTCTGTATATACAAATCCGATCCGCGAGGTTTTTTTCTCGCACGAGAAAAACACGTGCTGTTCAGCATGTATACGACCGCACATTTAAGCAGTACTAAAGGAGTGAATGGCGAGATTGCGAGAAGATGTGTAGAAACCGCAAGTACTGACTCGTGTTGCGGCGGGCTGTTAATACCGTTAAGGAGATTCTTTTCAACCGAATATTATTTTCTATCTTCTCGCCTACAGCGTAATGAAAAAAAAGTACAGCATTTCAATCTTTATGATCGTGTTGGGGCTTCCAATTCACTCGGCAATTTTTCACTTCATAGCCAATAGCTTGAAAGTACTCATTGAAGATGACAACTTGCAAATGTTGAATTACATTTTGACCACAGTCTTTTTTTTTTTACGAGAAGCAACAAATTTTGTTGAATTTCTCGGTAATTTGTGTCGACTTCAGTATTGAATACACAACTGGATGGGCAGTGAACTAAATTTGATCCAGTACCACGTTTCATCAAGAATTGAATCTAAAACTTCTTAATCCTTGAAAAACATTTTTCAACACCATCAAGTAGAAAGTATAGAAGTCGCCTGATTGAACGCGAAAATTTCAGCGAATCCGAAGATCAGAAGTTTCATTCGCGTATTGAATAATTTCAAATGATTCAAAATCAAATTATATCGTTTCCCCCAAAATACAGACCGGTCTTTCTCGAGTCTCAATATCTGAGACAACTGAAGATCAGTGGCAGCAATAAAATTAAAACGAAAAATAAAAAGATATTTATTCGAAAATCTAGGGAGAAATCATCAAATATTTCGAGCGACAGGAAAACCAGGTAGGGTTTGTTTTAGAAGTAAACTATACAAATATTCGAGAGGAATAATTTAGTGCTAAAATATGTTCATGTACTGTCACTAAAACTTTTGGATTATTGCTGTAACGGTGGCATAGAAAATTTATTCAGACCACCGAGTTGAAGGGGTGAAAAAACTATACACATACAAGATATTTTTCCATCAGTTCAAAAGTAACCACACAAAACAATTTTATAAGTAAGGTTCGTGTAATTCTTATTTTAATATTTCAATTTCTTGCATGCAAAAGACGACATGAAGCTGTCGATCACTCCACACGTGGAAGCATTATGAAATACAGCACGTAATCATTTAGCCACAGAAAATCATTAGCCTCGGGCGTAATTTCTCAGGGATCACTTCAGTTGACGTATAAGTGCACGATCCGCCAGCATTAAAATCACGTGATTTCCGTCCAGTCACGCTCATCAATCAACATCATCTCGGGATGTCTAACACGAAGCTTTGACTGATACAAGTAACCCGGGGGAAAAAAATAAAAACAGCGGATAGAAGTCAAATTATCCCTTTAACAAGGAACATCAAAAGATACTAGCAAGATACCGAACTTCCTATTTTGAAAATTGAAAATGAAATTCGTGGAAATTAAGGACCTGCCAAGAACTTCGTTAACTCGTGACGATACGATTTTGAAAATTTCCGTAATAATTTTTCATCATATACCAATCACAGACTTCACATTTCATGCCCTTTCAAAAAATATTTCAGCCCTTCTGCTACGTCAATACGAGTATAAGATTCAGTCAACATAAGAAATCAAATTGAGAAGTTAATAACGAGGTTCAGAGATCAAAGCAAAATACGACAAATTCCTCAATGCCAAATTTTTACGTTGCACAAAAAATTCTGCAAAACTTGGGAAGCATCTCTCGCGGGGGAAAAAACAAGTTTTTTACAATGCTCGGAGAAAAAATAAACACGAATAAATAAACCTTCGTAGCTTCTGGACTTCCTCAAATTTAATTGGGGACCCAGAGAGCCGGAATTTTGTCGGAGCAGAAAGGAATTTGGAATCAGTACCTGGAATTTGAGGACCTCCCGAACAGTGAGTGTGCCGATGAAAAGATCCTCCTGTTGCACGTAGGCGGAAATGGCAGTCAGATGCCCGGCATTAACCGGATATCCGTTCGCGTAAACGTTGCCAGTCACGTCCAACTTCCGCAAGTTCCGGAAAGTCAGCGAGTTTAAAAGGGTGGTTTTTCCGGCCCCACTGGCGCCCATGATTGCCAGCAATTCGCCAGGACGCACTACTCCACTCACTACGCAAAAAAACACAGAAAAAAATGTTCAGATTCCAAAAACGAGTAATTATCAAAAACGTACACAGCGAAAAAAAAATTAACAGAGGAATAAAGAAATTAGCCAATAAACGACGAAGGAAGAACGCCACAAAAAAGGAACCAAGGCCAATCATGGTTTTAGGCCATAACTTATAGTCAGATTTTCTCATGATTTTTATTTTAATGTACGGAATGCTTTCTGGATAGATTGAAACGAACCTTCATTAAATCTTGAAGAACCCTGCATATAATGACAGCTTGCTAAAATGCAATCCACATTCAATTCACCACATGAAAAAACGTACTCGAGCTATCCTTGTATTTTTTGTACAATAAACATAAACACGTTGAAGTAAAACAAAGCAAATGAAATCGGAAATATTTCACATTCTCGAAAAAAAAGCATCAAACCCTATTTTGAAAATCATTGTTGGGGAACCGCACCAAAGCGAACATTTATTCTATCAAGAATTCTACTAAAAATAAATATAATGAAAGCAATGAACAACCAGAAAAACCTGGGCAAACTAAAAGAGCCTCCCCTTGGTAAAAACTCAACACCTTGTGATCCCAGACTTCCTCAAAATCTACACAACTGACCAATAACAAGCCTCACAAATAACTTGAATTTCACAAAGCAAGAAAAAATAACAAAAAACCTTCCTTTGAGAAATATCTAGGGCCGTTTGCATTCACATTCCTTGATTCGTGTTCGAAGTGTGAACTTCATTTTTGCGGCAAAACGTGTGATTTGTTGAAGAGTTCTGCTGAGTTATTGTGTTTCTTCAAATATCTTTTAAACTTTTGTTGGGGTTTCTTGAAATACAAATTACACTCTTTTAACTTAGGAATCCTAAATGGATTTCTGGCCTCATCCCTGGCTGATCAAGTTTTTTTATTCGAAATTTGCTTTTGTTTTACGTGATCCAAAGTTACTTTCTTACAAAATTTATGCTGAGGTAAGTTATTCCACAACAATTATAAAAACATCGTGCTCACGCAGCAGGGACTGATTAACAAATCCGGTGTAAGCAGTAATTCGTTATAACGAGAGTCTAAATTCCAGAATCAATATTCGATAAAACAAAGGAAACCAACATTCGACTACAAAAAAATACATTCTAGTAAAAATAAATTAGTTTCTTCGAGATTTTGTTCCACGGACTCGAATTCAGCGATGGATGAAAATTATTCTACAAATTTCAGTTGCTCGTAAAAATAGTTTCGTGTCCCCCTCAATCATGGGAAGTTGTTCGTTAGTCATTAAAAACTTCTTGGCTTCAGTCAGCGGAGAAGCTGGTAATTAATGCTTGTTTGCAGCGATGTCGTTAGCAGACAAGTTGACTCTCTCGGTTAGTTCAACGATCCGAATCTTCACTTCCGTCGCATCAGATTAATTTGTTCGAAAGAAAAATAGATGCTATTCAAACAGATTAATTCATGCAATGCTTGGGAAAGTTCCTATCTCAGAAACAGGATTACAGAATAGATAAAACTGCTTTGATTGCATGAGGCTTTCTCGGAAACCTCTTCAAATGGCCATGGATAAATTTTATGTTTGTCTAAATATAATATTCGCGCTGTGTTCAAATGCAAGAATGCGTTGAGAGATTCCTTTCATCTATCGTTGCTAGAATTCTAAAAAGAATCAGCATAATTAGGGACATAGTCTTTATAAAACGACCGCTTGAAGATCAACAGAAGAAATGATGATCGAAAAATGCAACAAAACTTACAGTATTTTCATGACCAAGTGTCTATGGATAAAATTTCCCTCATCTTGAATGCATTGTATGAACTTTATCTCTCTTTTGAAATAACAAATCCGCAATCTGAAGGGGGTTTTAAAAAGCTGAACATACGATTTTATTGCCTTACATTGCGACACATTTCGTCAGTACATTTTTCCCTAATAAATATTTATTAGGGAAAAATATGCGGTGTATTATTTCAAGATTCATGATTCGATAATACGGCTTTTGGTCTTATACAGCATTTCCGTAAATTACAGTACTTTTGATTATAATGATCGAAAGGACCCGGATGAAAAGCACGGAATTAATTAATGTTTTACAGAGTCTTTTGCATATTTAGTAATTCTTTAAATATCTAGAGTGAACATTATTTTGTACATCGAAGAAAACATGAAAAAAATGGGGTATCGCACATGCATTCGAATTAATTCATAATTTTTCAACAGCAAGATTATTTTACCTGAGCGTCCAGGTCTTTTCTCTTGAATGCCTTTCTTTCACAAATATTTTTCCTCGAACCCTTTTTTCTGGAGGTGATTTTGTCTTAGTGCTTATCTTTTCTGACCAATAATGCCGATTACCAAACATATAGCTCATCAAATGATCGAGAGAAACAAATATAACTGAACATGCGGCCAGGGTAATTTACGTCAATACGGTCTCCCCAAGATAAGCACACTAATGATCAGCAAGAATATTATAAAAAAGCAACACATCTTCTTGCACATTACTGCGTAAGAATGGGGGAAACTTGAGAGGGAGAAAGGCAATTTTCTTGCCAATAAGCGCCATCCAACTGAGCGTCACTGCAGAAAAGTGCAGCATGGTGGGATTAGGCGTTTATTGCTTTTTGCCTAGAGACTTCCTTTCCTCATTTTCTACAACAAAGATGCAATTTCTTTTGAGCTCTAAAAAGCGCATAATTTCGATCACTGAACTCCCTCGAATATATATATATATATATTTTTTTTTTACAGTTCCAACACATTTTTCGCCGTAAAAATTGTTTATGCGATGCGAAAATCGGAGTCCACTGTTACCCAATTCTTGATCAAGAATCGCCGGAGCCAACGTGTGTGAGAGCATGGTCAAGTATCTTGAAATTATTTTTTTCTGATGAGAAATGGTGACGGAAATTTCTAGTCAAATCAATTTCAACTTTTCCGCTCAGTTGGATGGCACTCAGAGGCCCCGACCCTCGGTTGGGTTTGGCGCTCATTTGCACCCGCATCAAATTTATCGCATAATTTATAATATATATACAGTAAAACCCCCAAATACGAATGGGGGAAACTTGAGAGGGAGAAAGGCAATTTTCTTGCCAATAAGCGCCATCCAACTGAGCGTCACTGCAGAAAAGTGCAGCATGGTGGGATTAGGCGTTTATTGCTTTTTGCCTAGAGACTTCCTCTCCTCATTATCTAAAACAAAGGTGAATTTTATTTTGAGCTCTGCAAATCGCATAATTTCGATCACTGAACTCCCTCGAATATATATATATATATATATATTTTTACAGTTCCAACAAATTTTTCGCCGTAAAAATGCGATGCGTTTATGCGATGCAAAATTCGGAGTCCACTGTTACCCAATTCTTGATCAAGAATCGCCGGAGCCAAAGAAATTATTAAAAGTATCTTGCAATTATTTTTTTCTAATGAGAAATGGTGACGGAAATTTCTAGTCAAATCAATTCCAACTTTTCCGCTCAGTTGGATGGCACTCAGAGGCCCCGACCCTCGGTTGGGTTTGGCGCTCATTTGCACCCGCATCAAATTTATCGCATAATTTATAATATATATACAGTAAAACCCCCAAATACGGACGCTCCGACAGGCGTACGATTCGACTGAGGTACACTCGAAACTCTAAATCTGCCCCAACATCCGAAAAATGTCTCAAAATACGAATACTTTTCCACAGTTTTAGAAAAATGGAAATGAACATTTGAATATCTCTGAAAAAATTTAGCTATTTATATTCACGAAAATTTAAAATAAATCCCATCATTAATTAACTCAAATTCATAAAACCGGGCAAATTTTGTGCTTCTTTTCAAGATATTTATTTCCATCATCTGCGCAAAATATAGCAAGACTTCTTATTCTATGCTTCTTCTGCTCCTTTTGATTCCAAAAAATTAAATTTTTGAGTATTTATTCTGTACATTGATTTTTCTATGTCTTGAACTTGAGAAAATATGTTTATTCAACTTCTTGGGGGGCTTATTACTAATTTTGGATAAGCTGCATGGAGAATCAAATTAAATAAGTAACCATTGAAGCCTATGGGAAAACGGGATCTGACATGCGGACACTCCAACATAGAAACAAGGTCTATAAGTATCAATTTCATACACATGTCAGGCTCCCACTGTCCAAAGTACAAGCAGTATATGGAGTATATTGAGTACAGTAAAATCTTGCTACAAAAACTCCCAGCCCGACATAAAATTTGTCATAATTCTTTGAACGAGATTCTTGGTTTTCAACACATTTTAGAAATTATGTGGTAAATGGGCAATACATACTACAAAGTTTTGGTAAAACACGTAATTCAAGACCCGTTATCCTTTTGAGGTACTGTATAATGGTTTACCTCTGAAGAAATGACGAGAAAAAAGTTGGGAATAAATATAGTACTGTACTTTCCTTTTATTAAAACTGCCTCACTGAAGTGTCATTTGTATTAAAACATGCCGTGTTCTGTATTTTTTCTGGGACCACAACAGTATCTCTACAGAAAGTTTTGCTTCTCAATGAAGTTAGGATGCTGTATCATTTAAATTTTTCCCATTTTCTTCAAATCCCCGTTGAGGGATTTTTTGAATAATCCCTGTGTCTCATCCACAGAATTCAGCGCCAAAAATCTGCTGACTTGAGATTACAACCTAAAATTCTCGGTGCTTACATAAATTTTTATAATATGAATCTTTTATATTTATTTATAATAAATATATATTTATTCATAATACATATATACTTATTGATAATAAATATATATTTATTGATAATAAATATATATTTATTTTTAATATATATATATATATATATATATATCGTCGATATTTTTTTATATATGGTCGCCTATGGAAAACTTGGGAGCGAGAAAAAAATCTTGATAACAAANATTGATTTTTCTATGTCTTGAACTTGAGAAAATATGTTTATTCAACTTCTTGGGGGGCTTATTACTAATTTTGGATAAGCTGCATGGAGAATCAAATTAAATAAGTAACCATTGAAGCCTATGGGAACATGGGATCTGACATGCGGACACTCCAACATAGAAACAAGGTCTATAAGTATCAATTTCATACACATGTCAGGCTCCCACTGTCCAAAGTACAAGCAGTATATGGAGTATATGGAGTACAGTAAAATCTTGCTACAAAAACTCCCAGCCCGACATAAAATTTGTCATAATTCTTTGTAACCAGATTCTTGGTTTTCAAAACATTTTAGAAATTATTTGGTAAATGGGCAATACATACTACAAAGTTTTGGTAAAACACGTAATTCAAGACCTGTTATCTTTTTGAGGTACTGTATAATGGTTTACCTCTGAAGAAATGACGAGAAAAAAGTTGGGAATAAATATAGTACTGTACTTTCCTTTTATTTAAACTGCCTCACACTGAAGCGTCATTTGTATTAAAACATGCCGTGTTCTGTATTTTTTCTGGGACCACAACAGTATCTCTACAGAAAGTTTTGCTTCTCAATGAAGTTAGGATGCTGTATCATTTAAATTTTTCCCATTTTCTTCAAATCCCCGTTGAGGGATTTTTTGAATAATCCCTGTGTCTCATCCACAGAATTCAGCGCCAAAAATCTGCTGACTTGAGATTACAACCTAAAATTCTCGGTGCTTACATAAATTTTTATAATATGAATCTTTTATATTTATTTATAATAAATATATATTTATTCATAATACATATATACTTATTGATAATAAATATATATTTATTGATAATAAATATATATTTATTTTTAATATATATATATATATATATATATCGTCGATATTTTTTTATATATGGTCGCCTATGGAAAACTTGGGAGCGAGAAAAAAATCTTGATAACAAAATTCTTCAAAGCGAGTACTGGAATTTTAGTGAATATATATATATATATATATATACATATTTTTTTTCCTGTTCTTGAAAGCCATCTCACCGTTGCGAAGAATGTGTTTGGATTCGGTGTCCTTGGTTTTCCGACAGCATCGCGACAGGGTCTGCGACTCGGGTTTTGTGTGCACGTTGATGTTGTCCCAGGCGAACGTGATTTCCGACGGGGCCTTGCTGATGCTGATGAGACGATGCGTTCGCTCCGTGCCCTGCAAATGCAAACAATCGGATTTAATTTCCTCGGATGCGGGCATCTCGTTGATGCGAACACAACGTATGGACGCAACTACTGATGGGTTCCAGTTGCCTTTTTCCAGCAGGCTGTCGCCCAGCATTCAACATTACGTGGTCTGTATAGAAGAAAGCGTGTTCAGAGCGAATTTCAGGCAACTATACACATGACAACCAATCGGTCGATCCTCGGAAAATTAATTCAGCATTTCGCAGAATCCCAGCAAAAATGCAAAAAATATATATACTGTATATAAATACAGTGATTGCAAAAGAATATTTCCCACTTTAGAAACAGCGATATCGAAGGAATTGTGGACGGAAATTGAGTCTTTCGATTGATATCGAATTTCATGGGCGTGGTTTCATTAGTTTGATCCGCACGGGGGTTTGAAAAAAAGAAAGATGGTTTCCTCGCGAAAATTAGACAACCCGAATGCCAAAAATGTCGGATTGGGTTTGAGCAAGAGCTGTTTTACTGTTTCCAGTTTCGATTCAAAATGATTCGCAATAAGCAAACACTCGAGAATCTTCATTGCAATTGTTCTCACTGGAGAGATTTTTTTCTTCGGCGTAGGAATATGAATTTTTTCAGCATTTTCATCTAACTATTCCTTGTATTACGAGAAAAAGGCGCTCTGAAATCGACCTTTGGCCCACCCTGCATAGTTAACCCTTTGACAAACAATTTTTATTATCACTATTTTTCAGGTTCATTTTCAAATTCTTCAGATTGGATTAGGGCACTAGAAAAATAAGCTTCAACGATAGTCGTTCACACGAATCGCACAGAAAAAAATAAATGTTGAAAAATATATCCACAAGAAAAAAACGACAGATCAGAGAATATTATCAGTCCAATCAAATGAAGCCTTTGGTGAAAGAAAGGACCGGAAATTTGAATTTGTATTCCCTACTCAATGGCGTGGTTTAAAAAAATACCCAACATTCAAAATGATTAAGATTGATGAAGATTCATCCAGAAACTAATACTGACCGAGAATCGAGTAGTACTGTATCTGACTTTCGACTTCTAAACCGTTCACATCACACATTATTTTCAACGGAAAAAATATAAATTTTATTTAAAAAATTTACAGTATACTTAATTAGATGAGCGGTTTTTTGGACGAACAATTTTTCAGATATCAACCAATGAAGTTGCCCAACGTCGTTCAACTCGACTGTTTCCTCAAAAACCGAAACATAGAAGCTTCACAATCCCGAGAATTGAACACATTATTTAGTAATTATTTTTCCGATTATGATTTTTTCGATCCAAGCATACGAACATAAGATGAACCTCTTTTTACCCATTCAAATTACCTTACTCGTAATTAAAACACCATTCAAACCCTTCAATTTACAACCTTGAAGAAACGAAAAAAAAGCCTGTCAAACCTCCTGCGTTTCTCCACCGGCATCTGATGGAGTGACATCAAGGCCCTCAGGGGTCTCGCCATCAGTGATCATCCCCTACGCGACGAAACAAATGACTTCAGCGTTCCACCTTCCGGAGAAAACCCCTTGAAGGGATTTTTCAGGTGCTTTTGCAAGAATCGAATGAGTAAGTGGCGTTCCTCACCACTGGAACTCAGCAGGAAATGGTGAGCTTAATTTTACAGAGTAACTGCGGGTCGGGTTGAAGAAGGGTCGCTGATTAATTGATGGAAAAACTGGCGGCTGGGTTTCGTTATGGAGACGGGGGTTTATTCATTGTCGTTCGACGACGACGACGACGCTGTCGAGGAAATTGGTCCCCAGATCGCTTGGATTATTGACGAGGGGAGGTTATAAATGGCCGAATGCTCCAGTGATTACCAAGCACGCAGTTCCGCACGGAAATTCGGAGTTGAATTCAATTTTGAAACAGTTCGGAAAACGAAAATTTCAGAAAAAAGGATTCATTCGATGGAAGAGGAAAATTGCATTCATTTTTAAATTTCATGGAAATGGTACCTTCGATGAAATCGCATATTCAATACATACTGCGATCGATTTCACTTACGATGCTGATAGACCGTGTTTCGGATGACAGCAGACAGAAAGAATAATATCATCTTTCAAGAGCAGCGATGTTGTTTTGACAAATGGAATCGCAAGAATGAATTTTGAAGAATCTTAAATTGTATGGAGCACTGTCTTCAATTTTCCAAGTTTAATTTGTTTGCATTTTATTTTATATTTTGCATACATCTCCTCATAATTCACTCGAGAATTTATGCGGAGAATCGATGAAGGATATTGTGTATTTAAAATTAATTTTCCGAGGCATGGAATCAACTAATTATATTCTGCATAGTTTCGTTTAAAGTTACTTTATTAACGACAATGGGATAATGAACATCACGTTAATAATAAAACCACTAACCGAGGAAAAACGGTACCCTTTCGTATCTTGACTTCTCAGGATATTGGTTTTCAGGTTCTTGCTTCATTTATAGCCGTTTGAATATTAAAAATTCAGCGTCAGACAAGGGTTCTTAAAATTGATGATTGCCTTATTGGTTTTAAACATGGCTATCTTACACAGAAAACGATGCTCCGCGGCGATATGCTTAAACAGGTGACAAGATTCCTTTATTAATGTCGACAAGTGCAAGAAAATCATCACACTTCACAAACTGATGAACCAAATCTGACGGCGTCGACGTGCCAGAAATCAAATCGACAGGTTAGATCTATTTCGAGGTCAAGTTAACTAGTCGGGTTGCTTGAGCAGAATATCTGGACAGTACGAACTGTCCAACAATTCTTGGAAATGAAACGATATCATTTGAATAATTTTGAAGTGACTTTGCACCCTGGTGAACAGAATCCTAATTAAAATATTATCTGAGCACCGACGAAATAAAATGTATACATAGTCACTTCTTGTCAGCCTGAACAGCATTTGTTGGACAGAAAAACTTCTCAAGATTCTTCTTTGACATAATGAAAGACAAACGTGAAGGCTTCTAAATTTGTAAAGTGACTTCATCATTGATGTAAGAAAAGTTCTTGGGCATTTCTCTCACGAATTTACCATCCATTCAACTAATTTAAAAAAAATTACCTCCGGCACAGAGGGACTTCCTTATCTCTTTTCTATTTGAATGTTTTTTTTTTTTACAGAGAATGCCAACATTTTTATGTACTTTACAGAGGTATCAGTATTCAATTCCCCAAATGTCCATGCATCTTGTGTTGAAATATATTGATTGGATCCGTTTGAATTCAGAGACAATGTTTATTTTCATGGAATTATGGTGAGTATTTTGTCCATAAAACACCAATTAAAAACTCTATAATGTAAGTCTAAGGGAAAATGAGACTTGCCTTAGGGACATTTCAATTTAGGGACAATCTTGATGCGCCAATTACATCCGCATCTCGGGGTGTCACTGTAGATTTTTTTCACATGTATTACAGTAAGATACAGTGATTCCTTTTTTTTAAATTTGAGTGGCGTGTTTCAGGGAGGAGATGAAGAAGACGCAAACCTCGGCAGCTTTGGGAGCATCCTCAGACTTGTCCCTCTTCGGGGCCGGCCCAAAGTTGAGCAACAACGGGGACCAATACTGGAAAATCTCGCTGGTCGTTCGCCTGATGAGCATGGCCGGGCGCTCGGGCCTGATCTTGTCCTCACTCAATGGCTGCGCGATACTCGCCAAGCTGCCCAGGGACTCAGTCGGCGCCTTCATGCCGGCCACCGCCCCTGCACCGCCGCCGCCAGCACCACCGCCGCGATGCGACCGCGAAGGCCCCGGCGTCATCGAGACAGCGATCACCGCCGGCTCAAACGCCGTGTCCTCCGCCTCGCTCCCACTGCCCACCACCACCACGCCGTCCTCGTCCACTCGCTCCTCGAACAAAACGGCGGCGCTGAGACTGCGGAACACGTGCATTCGCTGCGCGAGCGGGGACACGCCATTCGGCTTGTTGGCGGCTCCCGTAGTCACAGTGGCGGCAGAGGAGGAGGAGGAGACTCCACGCGACGACGGCGGCGGCGGCGGCTGCGGTGGCGTTGCGGCGGCGGCGCCGCCACAGCCGCCGGCGCTGGAGGCATCATCGCCGGGCGCGTCAGGCGCGCCAAGGATGAGGCTGCGGTACGAGATGTCGCGTCGCTCACGCATTCGCTAATCGCACACTGACGACGCCTG